TCCTCAGGGGATGTCGGGCACATTCTTTGAATTTTGCTTTTTGAAGATGAAGCTTCTACCTACAAATATATGTGAAAAAAAAAATGCCAAGAAAGTATGTGGGTTGGATAAGTACGCGTGTTTTCCTACTTGTGTACTGCATTGTGATGAATACGTCTGGCAGCTGCAGTAAAACACTTTAAAATAAGCATGTCTAGGCACCTTCCCTACCAATTCCTGTCTGCCCGGCATGTCCTGGGATGTCAGGCTACTGGCAGAGCCCCTGAGCGGCCCCTTGTTTAGAGATAACATGAAGGAGCCATCGGAAATCCATTAGGAGTAATGCTCAGAATTACTTATCTCACTGTCAACGTTGGCCTGTCTGTTTATATATACCGCCAGTGACACCATGGAATTTTGAGCTGTATGGATGAAGTGTAAGTGGTCCAAGAGATTGTAAGCTGCAGTATAAGTAAATTCTGACTGTGGCAGGACCAGGGGCAGACTGACCATTTGTAAACTCTGGCACTGCCCGGGGTCAGTAGGGGGCCCCATGAGATGTCCCTGGTACCTTTTTTCATAGGCTGTTTTGAGTTTGGACAAGGACACAGGGGCCCCCATGATCCCCTATTGCCCAGGGGCCCCATGAGTTGTCAGTCCGCCCCTAGGCAGGACAAGCTCCCCTGGCTCTAAAGGCAAAGTTGCCAAAGTGTGCTACCTCTTCTTTGCTAAGCTGAGAGGGATGGTGCTTACATGTCCACATAGGGCTGTGGATAGGGGGGTACCACCAGGACTGCAGTTTGAAACCACGGGGCCCCATACAGCCAATCTGACAGCCCCCCCCCCCACAAAAAAAAACACAGCGTGCTATAATTCAGCTATGAATGAACACAGTGAGTGATTGGTACCAATCACTCGTTGTGTTCATTCAGGATAGGAAGGAGCTTGTAAATGTGACTCTTCCCCCACTCTCCATCCAGAAGGATCCTATTGTGTGCTTGCATCTGCTAGTGCGAAGGAGAGGAGGGCAGTGTGGGGGCAAACAGGGGGGCCTGGGCAGCAGGAGGAAATGTATGGTGCACAGGGAGGGTGATGGGTACAGCAGGGAAGGGCAGTTACTGGAACCATTCCCCTGTATTGCTCTCTGCAGCAGCTGAAAGCCAGCAGGAGGGAGAGGAGAAAGAAGCTGCTGCAGAGAGCCATACAGGGGATTGGTTCCAGTAATTACCCCCCCCCCCCCCACCATGTGGATCACCCTCCCTGCCCGCATCGGATTCACCCAGCTGCCTGGACCCCCTGTTGATCTGGGCCCCGCACAGGAGGACCGGTGGTAACCCCTTATCCATGGCCCTGGTACCACCAGTCCTCCTGTATGGGGCCCAGGCAGCTGGGTGAAATTAATGTGGGCAGGGAAGGTGATTGGCACGGCGTGGGGGGGGAATTACTGGAACTGATCCCCTGTATGGCTCTTCCTGTAGCACATCTTGGGGTAATCAGTGGGATAAGTGGGTGCCTAACAAGTGTTACTGTATGTATTATGTGTTGCTTTTTACTAAAAATCTCTGTTTCTACTCCCTGCAAAGCACAAAGAGATCGTTCTCTCTGTACAGAGCCCTGTGTTGTTTGTAAATAAAGAGCTCTGGGCTGTGATTGGACAGCCGATCAGAAGGTCCCCGGCCGAGAATCACTGGTCAGGACCTGCCGCCACATCGTGAATGATCCTTCAGCTGAGAGGAGGGGAGGAAGAAAGGACAGAGGAAGATGCCAAGTGTTTGGGGCCAGTGTAGCAGCAGAGCTGCCGCTCCTTCCAGTGTTCCTCTCAGACTCAGTCCCTTACTGCAAGTCGGCTGGCAGATGCTGGTCATTGTGGCGTTCCAGCCCTTCTTTTCCCATTCATCAGCGGAGGCGGAGCTGCGCCCTTCGGAGGGAGGTAATGTCTGACTCTCATTCTCATGTATGTGTGTGACCCGGCCGGCCTTCCATCACATGCGCAATGTGTCAGTGAGTGATGACATCATCACAATCCCACAGCCTGCTATTCCAGTGCCTGCTGATCTGGGTCAGTGTTGGTGGTGGTGTGTTGTGTCTGATCTGTCCCTGTGTGGGATCATCCAGTTCAGGTGTTATCTCTGTGTGTGCAGGCTGGGCTGGGCTGCCTGCTGTCACAGCGTTTTACCTCCCCCCATTGCCTGGGGAATTCCAGCCTGGGGATCTGTCAGAGCTATCTTATGGCACTTGTTTTTGCAAATGAAAAGAAGCAGCTTCATGTTTTGTTGATTAAATGTTTTCTACTGTTTTAAATATTTTTTTTTCATTTTCGAGGGGGGCGCAAGTAGCAGCTCTTGCCTAGGGTGCAAAATACTCTAGCACCGGCCCTGCCCATAATGTTTTCCTGAGCAGTATCAACAAAACCCCTTCTATAACTTACTGCCTGTATTTGCTTTTAAATCGAAGTGAAAAGGTAGAGCTAATTAAGCAAACATATTTTTTTCACAGTGATACATAAACCAAAAAAATATAAAAATATAATAAAAAAATGTGCAAATATTCATAAAAAATCCAAAATATTCAATAAAGTGATTCAAAAAAATGTCTCTAATATCTATTAATTCAAAGGCTTCAAAATGTCTCTAATATCTTTCATTTCAAAAGCTTCATAATGCTGAAAATCCACCACCAATTGTAGAGCTAATTAAACAAACATATTTTTTTCACAGTGATACATAAACCGAAAAAATATAAAAATATAATAAAAAATATGCAAATATTCATAAAAAATCCAAAATATTCAATAAAGCGATTAAAAAAAAAGTCGATAATTTCTATCAATTCAAAGGCTTCAAAATGTCTCTAATATCTTTCAATAAAAAAGCTTCATAATGCTGAAAATCCACCACCAATTGTGCAAAACTCCATCACCAATAGAATTGAATGAACTCACCAGAGCAAATTGCTAGTAAAATTATAAACTAGCAAGTCAAGTTTTGGCTCTAGTTTATAATTTTACTAGCTGGTGAGTTCATGCAATTTTATTGGCAATGGAGTTTTGCACAATTGGTGGTGGATTTTCAGCATTATGAGGCTTTTGAATTGAAAGATATTAGAGACATTTTGAAGCCTTTGAACTGATAGACTTTTTTAAATCACTTTATTAAATATTTTGGATTTTTTATGAATATTTGCACATTTTTTATTGTATTTTTATATTTTTTTGGATTATGTATCACTGTGAAAAAAATATGTTTGTTTAATTAGCTCTACAATTGGTGGTGGATTTTCAGCATTATGAGACTTTTTGAATTGAAAGATTTAGAGACATTTTGAATCCTTTGATTGATAGACATTTTTTTAATCACTTTATTAAATATTTTGATTTTTTTAAGGTTTATATTGTGAAAAAAATATGTTTGTTTAATTAGCTTACAATTGGTGGTGGATTTTCAGCCTTGAGAAATTGAGAGATATTAGAGACATTTTGAAGCCTTTGAATCACATTTTTTTGAATCACTTTATTGAATATTTTGGATTTTTTATGAATATTTGCACATTTTTTATTATATATTTTTTTGGTTTATGTATCACTGTGAAAAAAATATGTTTGTTTAATTAGCTCTACAATTGGTGGTGGATTTTCAGCATTATGAGGCTTTTGAATTGAAAGATATTAGAGACATTTTGAAGCCTTTGAATTGATAGACATTAGAGACATTTTTTTGAATCACTTTATTGACTATTTTTTTTGTATGAATATTTGCACATTTTTTATTATATTTTATATATTTTTTGGTAAACACTGTGAAAAAAATATGTTTGTTTAATTAGAATTGGTGGTGGATTTTCAGCATATATGAGGCTTTTGAATTGAATTTTTTTGAAGCCTTTGAACTGATAGACTTTTTTATATTTATTTTGGAATATTTGCACATTTTTTATTGTATTTTTATATTTTTTTGGATTATGTATCACTGTGAAAAAAATATGTTTGTTTAATTAGCTCTACAATTGGTGGTGGATTTTCAGCATTATGAGGCTTTTGAATTGAAAGATATTAGAGACATTTTGAATCCTTTGAATTGATAGACATTTTTTTTTGAATCACTTTATTAAATATTTTGGATTTTTTTTTATATTTTTTATATTTTTTTTGGTTTATGTATCACTGTGAAAAAAATATGTTTGTTTAATTAGCTCTACAATTGGTGGTGGATTTTCAGCCTTATGAGACTTTTGAATTGAGAGATATTAGAGACATTTTGAAGCCTTTGAATTGATAGACATTTTTTTGAATCACTTTATTGAATATTTTGGATTTTTTATGAATATTTGCACATTTTTTTTGTTTATTATATTTTTTTTAGGTTTTGTGTGGATGTATCACTGTGAAAAAAAAAGATATGTTTGTTTAATTAGCTCTACAATTGGTGGATGGATTTTCAGCATTATGAGGCTTTTGAATTGAAAGATATTAGAGACATTTTGAATCCTTTGAATTGATAGACATTTTTTTAATCACTTTATTAAATATTTTGGATTTTTTTATTATATTTTTATATTTTTTTGGTTTATGTATCACTGTGAAAAAAACATGTTTGTTTAATTAGCTCTACAATTGGTGGTGGATTTTTAGCCTTATGAGACTTTTGAATTGAGAGATATTAGAGACATTTTGAAGCCTTTGAATTGATAGACATTTTTTTGAATCACTTTATTGAATATGTTGGATTTTTTATGAATATTTGCACATTTTTTATTATATTTTTATAGTTTATGTATCGCTGTCACAAATATATGTTTGCTTAATTAGCGCTACCTTTTCACTTCGATTTTCATTATTACCTCTGGTAGAGGGTGAGGTTTAGCAGCTTGAATTTTTTATATTTTATTTTGTCGGCGCTGTTTTCACTCATATGTTTTTTCACTATAATTGCTTTTAAACAAAAATAGGGGCCACCATTACTGTCCACCTTTTGAGAAATGCCATTTGCCTGGCCAAAATGCTGATTCCCTGGCTATACTTCCCCGCAGGGGCGGACTGACCATTTGAGCACTCGGGCATTGCCCGAGGGCCCGGGGTCAGTAGTGGGCCCCATGAAATGCCCCTGGTACCTTTTTATAGGCATTTTTGGGTGTGCTTTGAGTTGGGCAAGGACACAGGGACCCCATAATCCCCTATTGCCCAGGGCCCCATGAGTTGTCAGTCCGCTCCTGCCTCCTGCCTCGGATTCCCTAGCTGTAGTACTTTGACTTGGTACAAGCATGCAGATCAAAAGATCGCTTTGAGCTCACTTGCTGTGCGTTTGCTCCAGATCAGTGTCTCTGAATATTTTGAGGCCACATATAGCCAGGAAACTAGCATTTTTGATAAAAAAGCGGTGACCTTTATATTTTTCTCAGAGCAGGTTTCCTTTATGTGCAGCTTTCTTCAGTGTCATGTGCTCCAGGTTGCAATGCAGATCATGGTCTGGGTTGAGGGACCTCTCTTGCCGCTGGGTAGAACCTGAGGCTGTTGTTGGATTCTTGTTACATTCCTTGTGGCACAGCATTCCTCCTGTGTCTCAGGGGAGGATGGAGTGTGTTTTTTTTCCAGTGACAGAGACTCTCTCCGTCTTGTTTTCCCTAACACAGACTAGTCTTGAACAGGGGCGGACTGACCATTTGGAAAACTCGGGCACTGCCCGAGGGCCCGGGGTCAGTAGGGGGCCCCATGAGATGCCCCTGGTACCTTTTTCATAGGCTTTTTTGTTTGGGCAAGGACACAGGGGCCCCATGATCCCCTATTGCCCGGGGGCCCCATGAGTTGTTAGTCCGCCCCTGGTCTTGAAATTGCACCAATGTGTTTCTGCTGCTGTTGTCTAGCACTACCCCCTTAGGAGTCGGTGTTTGGGTCCTGCACAGCCAGGCACCATGCATTTCCTTCACACAGGCTTGCATCCAGAAGACAGTAACCAGTTCTTGAGCTTTGTTTTGAAGTTTTATTAGGGGATTGAACTTGGATGGGGTAAGGGGTGTACAGGATGCCCACGGGTATAGAAACTGAGGACAACTTTCTGGAATTATGTACGAGTCTCTAGACAAAAATCCTCTTCTTGGAGAGCTAGCCAGACTCTCCGAATGTACCACCCCAGACCCCAGATACTCCTTTTTATCCGGCAGCCTGGAGGCAATCCGTGGAAGTCACCCTAAGTGTAAGACAGTCCTGTGTAGGCAGCTAATCGAGTTTCCCTCCAGAGTGCTTCTTCCCCTTACTGGCCCAGGGGGTTGTAGGTCTACTCACTCAGCCCCCCATCTGGGTTGGTGGCTGCTACCAGGCTTTCTAGCTGCTACAAAGGTGGTCTCTCTTGGGGCCAATGAGTTGCTGACTTTTCCTCCTTTCCAGCATCCCTGCCTGGAGGTGAGCCCCTTCCCATCTGGGCTCCCTCCCAGGCTCCAGCCTCACTTCTCCATCTTCCACCTGAACTCTCCTGCTGCTGAGCAGGCTTGGTCACTCTTAAGAGCTATCTTGACCCCTTGCCAAGCCAGCTGCTGGGGATTGGCTAAGATCCCTTGAGAGTGCAGATTAGCCACTCCTTACTTCCGCCCACTGCTTCTAGAACTGTCTCCAAAGTTCTAGCGCAGGGGGAAGTCTCAGCTCTGACCCAAGTATAACCCTGCTAGCTATCACACTCAGGCTGCTACTCAGCCCTCATCACTAACAATTTGGCTCTAGCTCCTTCTAGCTATCTAGGAGGGTGCTAAAGTTGGATCTATTGCACCTTACTAGTCATTAGATGTGGTGGCTGTATAAGCATTTTTTTTCTTTTTCGCCTGGTGATCCTGCCAGTAACACGCACCCTGGGGGCAAGGACCTTTGGGCTCATCCTCTCTAGGGAAAGACTGGGAAGCAAAGACCTTCCACCACTATATCCTCTCTAGGCAAAGCATGGAAATGAAAAGGTCTCTCCAAATATTTATTTCTTTCCTTAGCCTACTTCACTGGGAAAAACCCCTCAGTGATCGGCCAGGGTGAAATAAATATTCATAACCCAATTCATTGCATCTTCTTGCTCTGCCTACTGGAGAACACTCACCAGTAGAAGGTAGAAGCAAACAAAGTCCTTGGACTTTTGGGGTACCAATAGTCCTAGATAATCTAAAAAAGGGGTCTCCAAACTTTCTAAACAAAGGGCCAGTTTACTGTCTTTCAGACTTTAGGCAGGCCTGGACTGTGGTTAGTGAGAGTAGAAAATGTCCTGACATCAGTGGGAGTAAACAATGCTCTATTGTTGGTGTCAGTGGGAGGAATAGTGCCCCATCATTGGTGTCAGCAGGGAGAATAGTGCCCCATCATTGGGTGTCAGCAGGGAGGAATAGTGCTCCATCATTGGTGTCAGTGGGAGGAATAGTGCCCCATCATTGGTGTCAGTGGGAGGAATAGTGCCCCATCATTGGTGTCAGCAGGGAGAATAGTGCCCCATCATTGGGTGTCAGTGGGAGGAATAGTGCTCCATCATTGGTGTCAGTGGGAGGAATAGTGCCCCATCATTGGTGTCAGTGGGGAGGAATAGTGTCCCATCATTGGTGTCAGTGGGAAGAATAGTGCCCCATCGTTGGGTGTCAATGGGTGGAATAGTGTCCCACCGTTGGGTGTCAGTGGGAAGAATAGTGCCCCATTGTTGGGTGTCATCTGGAGGAATAGTGTCGCATCATTGGGTGTCAGGGGGGGAATAGTGTCCCAACATTAGGTGTCAGTGGGGGGAATATTGTCCCATCATTGGGTGTCAGTGGAAGAATAGTGCTCCATTGTTGGGTGTGAGTGGGAGCAACAATGCCCCATTGTTGGGTGTCAGTGGGAGGAAAAGTGCCCCATCGTTGGGTGTCAGTGGGAGAAATAGTGCCAAAACATTGGTGTCAGTGGGAGGAATAGTTCCCCTTTGTTGGACGTCAGTGGGAGGAATAGTGCCCCATCAATGGTGTCAGTGAGAAGAATCTTGCTGCATCGTTGGGTGTCAGCGGAGGGAATAGTACTCCAATGTTGGCGTCAGTGTAGGAAATTTGGCCCCATGTTTGGTGTCAGGGGGAGAAAGAGTGCCTCATATCAATGGGAGGAATAATGCCTCAAGTGCTAGATAAAGGCAAGCAAAGGACCACATCTGACCCCCAGGTCACAGTTTGGAGACCACTGATCTAATCAAACAGAGCTCAGGCAGCCAACACTAAATATTCCTTGTTGACGCCCTGTAACGTGTGCGGCACAAAAGGATGGACTTTAATGCTCACGTACCGCACATATGTGTCGCAGGGTGGCCAATGTTTCTTTGTTGAGAGCATGCTCACTGCATGCTCCCAACACACAGACCGAGCTGTCAAAGACAGCTCTTGGTCCAGACTAACAATTGGTAGGCGGCCGGACCGGCTCCGGATCATGTGACCACTGTGACACCCAATTACAGTGGTCACACCAGTGGTCCTGAACACCCCTTTGGTGTTTAGAACTTTTTAAAGGGATGCCGGGGCAGGCTGGAAGGGGATAAAAACCTGGGGCACTCCAGCTGATGGGAGGGGCGCTGCACACTTATCACAAAGATATAGCAAAATGCTTTTAGTGGAATATTAATCCTCCCTGGCGGTATTCCCAAATGTAGCTTGTAGCTTTCAGTACCAGAAGCGGTAACCCCGAGCTACACTCGGGAATACACTGCAGCGCTTCTCCAGCAATCCCTTACCTTGTCCTTCACTCCCGCGATGTCCCTCCTGCAGTGTCCCCAGCAAAGTTCTCCGGCCGATGCCGGCATCTGTCTTCCGGGTTCCGTTCCCTGTGAGCATCCGGATGTACGGGGGATGGAACTGGCGGGAAATTTAAAAATGTAAAAATGTGACATTCACTAAATACACTAAAATTGTACAGCGCTGAGCAAACCCTTTGGCGCTATATAAACTCGATAAATAAATAAATAAATAAAATCACATAGTATAACATTCCTGTATCAAACCATTTCACATACATTTAGTCCCGAGTGCTTTGTCCGGAGCCCTGCCTGCATTTTTACCGTCCTTTCTGCCTGGAAACTGATAAACGTCCATGGCGTCCAAAAAGCGTCCCTTTAGGTCTAGAGAACAGCGATAGTAAATCAGAACCACTTGCAGAATTGAGTGATAATGATTCGTGGGGAAATTCCTCATCAGACATTGAAAACGATTTTGCGACTGAGCTCAGCGATGTGCGACCTTGGCGCTATATTTCAAATTTCAGTGTTTTTGGTTTGATTATATTATTGAATTAAATTTATTATTATTATTTTTTTATTCTTTATGATTATATATTATATTATAATTTATGATTTCGTGTTTCAAGTTTTATCATCCCCAGGATGTTTACTAGACTCTTGTTCGGACAGATTTCAGTGAGTTATTCCTAAGAATTACAGGCCTACAATAAAAAAACAACAAATTTCCATTGAAAATAATGTACCGCTTTGAGCACAGAAATACTGACATAATCAGACCGCTAGGGAGGTTAAAAGACCAAAACGGAGCAAAAGAAGTCAGTTGATCAGGTTCACATACAAATTATGCAAGGCGCACAGAGTTTATATTTATATACTTATCTCCGTTTTAGCTACCTATTTATCAAATATGCCGTGATTTTGTAGCAATGAAAAGCAAGATAGGAAGCTATGAAATGATATGATATGAATACATACAATAATACACGCTAATGCAAAATCAATATAATAATCTGGTTCACATAGAATGGCGCACAAAACAAACACGCAATTCATCGCTACGTCTCGGGCCTGAGCAGGTTGGGAGGTTAAATGATCTCTGTGCATTGTATTACCATAATAAAAACTATGCAAAGCCTATCAGGGCCACATAAAGGAACCCATTGCATTGTACTTTACCGACCAAGAATAATACAACTGTGACCTATTTATTCGGGGAATGCGGTCCACAGTGATAGTTTAATCGTCATGCGTTTGTTGCGAGCCAACAAATTCCAGAGGAGGGTCTGACCGGGGAGTAGGAATGACACGGATATTGGTAGATTAATAACAATAACCCTTCTACATAATGGAGAGATGAGGAGGCGTCTGTCCAACTTCCCACATGACTGCAACAATGATTATTTTAGTCTTAACCCCCCTGGCGGTATTCCCGAGTGTGTAGCTCGGGGTAAAATTTCAATACCAAGAGCGGTAACCCCGAGCTACACTCGGGCTTACCATGCGGCGCTGCTCTGGGGGTCCCTGCAGCACTTACCTTGTCCTTCGCTCCCGCGATGTGTCCCCTGCAGCGTCCCCGGCCATCTCCTCCGGCCGATGCCGGCATCCGGCTTCCGTGTTCCGGTCCCTGTGACGTCGGGACGTACGGACGCTGGAACCGGCGGGAAATTTGAAATTTTTAAAAAAATTTCATTTTTGCTGTCATTGCTGTTTTAATGCATTTCACATACATTTTGTCCCGAGTGCTTTGTCCGGCGCCCTGCCTGCATTTTGACTGATCTTTCTGCCTGGAAACTTAGAAAAGTCCATGGCGTCCAAAAAGCGTCCCTTTACGTCAAAAGCGGTTTTAGACCGGCTAGAGAACAGCAATAGTAAATCAGAACCACTTGCAGAATTGAGTGATGATTCGTGGGGGAAATTTGTCATCAGCCACTGAAAACGATTTTGCGACTTTGCTCAGCGATGTGCGAACTTGGCGCTCTATTTCACATTTCAGTGTTTTTGGTTTGATTATATTATTGAATTAAATTTATTATTATTATATTATTTTTTATGATTATTTATTAAATTATAATTTATGATTTCGTGTTTCAAATTTTATCATACCCGGGA